AGGTGGTCAGCAGGCTAGAAGTGGTGGCCTACTGGCCACTGATGACTGGATTTTCCTGCTGCAACAGAGAGCAAACAAAGCAGGAACAGGGTAGTCTCAAGGGTTCGTTTGCACAACTTACCTCTCCTTATCATTTGAACAACTCTAAGCAGTAGTAAACTTGGTTCACAAACCATTAATGAATGCAATTTCATTGCATGATGGCCTATGAACCAAAGGGTGCAAGTTCAATAAATGCAATAAATAAAGACTCTCAAATCCCCTCCCTATCATGGATTGATCAAGGGAAGTGGTTGACAATGCCTCTTGAACCGTTTATATCACTAATAAGTATGAAACGACTCAAGACTCAAGGGTTCAATTAACGTCCGATTGAACCCAAACCAAGTTATTATCTTGCATCATTTTTAGTCTCCAATGTTATTACTCCATTTTAATTACTAACCATTCCTTAGTAAATTGAGTCCAAAAGTGAGCTTTAAGTCCTTTAATGGAAACAAGTATCAAACCAAGAGTTGTTTTAGACATGAGAGAAATGTCATGCCGCTGGTAATGAACCCCCAAAGGGATTAAACCATTAAGCACAAGACCTCAATCTCATGCTTTAAACAAGCAATTAGTTTGAACCAACTTTCAAAGCAAAGCAAAAGCCAAGAAAGGAGGGAGGTTGCAGAGGTGATTAAAGGTGATCATAAATATGGAAACTCATAAACAAATATTATCAACTCAGATAGGATGGTGGCTAAGGCCTAAAACACCAAACCTATGAGGACAATTACACTATAAGCATGCAATACAAAGCCCAGATGTAATGAATACTTAAAAAGAGTCCTAAAACAGTGCTAAATAAGTCCTAAAACATGCTAGAATTAAGCTAACAAAAGCTAGAATAATAAGCTAAAACATAGAGCTATGCAAGCTAATAAACAAAAGACAAGGAAGGGAGGCTAACCCCTCCAATTTTGGACTTCAAAACATGTTTTTAGCCACTGAAATAACTCTAAAAATTAGTGTTTAAAAGCTCAAAAAAAGATAGTGTAAAGGTGGAAAACACAAGGGTAAAGGCTAGAAGAGAAAGGTGGAAAGAAGGGCGAAACACCCCTTCACCCTTTAAGGCCTTAAACCACAAGTTTCAGCCCAAAAATACAGAGTTTATACAGCCCAAAAACAGTGAGAAAATAGTAAGAAAAGAAGCACCTAAAGCAATGAGACAAGCAAAGCCTTATACCTCTTGAAGAGAAGAACACTTTTAAACAATAATTCAACTCAAACACACCCTCAAGAGCTCAAGTTATGCTCAAAAGTACCTCAGCTCAAAGATGAAAATATTTGTTTAAGAGTGTATAGGCTAAAGTTCAAGAAATTTCAAGAGAGAGAGAGAGAGAGAGAGAGAGAGAGAGAGAGAATTATAGAGACAGAAAATTAATTTTGTTCTAATTTTTCTAACCCTCAAAAAAAAGGAGAGGAGGTCCTATAATTATAGAAAAACAGGCCACCTCCTCAGAAATATCCATCCATACATATGTAAGTGGGTGCAAACACCTGTGCAAACACCTGGCACAGCTGACAGAAAAATATCTACAAAACACACTTGTGGCCGGCATGCCACTAATTCTGGTTGGCAGGCCACACTCTTGGCTAGCAAGGCACAAGGGTGGCTGACAGGCCACAAAAATGGGCCTGCAAGTCCCAAGTTTTTCACGTTTGAAAGGTTGGGGTTTTGGTGCAAAAACATGGCACAAGGTTTGTAGGGTTTTGAGGCTCAGAGCTGTGGCATTCCACTGAGGACTTTCAAGCACTTAACAAGCATATACATTCATCATTGGGTGTGCAAGTGATGGTGCCCAAGTCGTAAGGGCGGTAAAAAATGGGGTGTCTACACAACAGTTCAGCAACATTTCAACAAAAATTCCAACAATAGTTCAACAACATTTTAACAAAAATTTAAGCAAAAATTCAGCAAAATTCCAACCATAGTTCAGCATTTCAGCAATATTTCAACAACATTTTTGTAAAATTACAGCAACACTTTTAGCAACATTCCAACAAAAATTTTAGCAAAATTTCAGCAAGTTTTCAGCTACATTTCAGCTGCATTGTCATTTCAAAACAAGAGAAATATAGCTAAATCTTCACCCCCCAATGATCAAAGAACACAACAATGTTTTCTACATACACATGAAAGGTTTTCAATATAACATACACAAATACCATATCAAACAAAAAAAAAAAAAATCAACTCGAAGATATTGACGTGTGATCCACATGATCATGCCCACGGCTACACTCATGCCCATGCCTACAGCTAGAGGTATGCGCGGTGCGGGTCATTGCGGTTTAAGAGAAAAATAGAAATCGTATAGTGGGTGACGGATTGATAAAAGTGTCATTAAAATTTGCCATTTTTCTTATTGAAAATCGGCAGTTCAGTTGGCAAATAATAGCAAATTTGCCTTGGCGGTTCGGGCGGATTGGTGGTTTATAAAAAATATAATTCAAATTACAGAACTTGAATAAAAGAGTAAAAAGATCTAATTTATAAATTAACTAAAATAGTCATAATTAATGTAGGTACACATTTTATAGAAAAATAAAATAGGAAAATCCTCGATGCACAAATCTGTTTGCATATATGTATAAATCTAATATTGCTAAAACTATATTGTCAAAATGTTTGCAAACTTGAAAAACAATTTTCAGACCAAATTATCATCACTGAAGTATTTAATGACAAATCTATCCTATACATATTTACTCCAATGGTAGCATTTGATCGATAACGGCTGACCAATTCTTTTTCCAGCACCCAACATCATATTTATGAAGGTTTCCGATTTGTAAATATGGGTTAGTTGAATCCAAATCATGCAACATTTAGATTAAAAGGAAATAAAGGGAAGAAACTAGGGTTTTCTCATAAAAGTACCTGAAGAAGTAGAAGACCAATGACACCAAGCACAGGGCCTGTAGCTCCAACAAATCCGATGGATTCGCCAAATAACAGGGTAGCAAGTATAGCCACTTTCAATGGCTATGAATCAATTATCACTTGAAATTGTTCATTCAACTCTTAGTCATTTTTTCAGTTTATTACCCATTACCATATCAATTGAATAGATTAATATCACTTAAGAAGTGAGCACTATTATGTCAAATAACTCAGCAACATAGCTATAGAAATCATAACCAACTTATCTGATTATTTTGTTTACAAAAAGGGAAATTATAAAATAAAAAATAATAATCAAAAACCTCTTAGTTATATATATATATAGAGAGAGACAGTGATACTTATATCATTTGAACATAGTCGTATCACTTAAGAGAAGTGAGCACTATTATGTCAAATAACCTAGTTCAATTGCAACAAAAAAACACTGATTAAGATACTTATACTTAGCCTTGACTTGGTTGAGGATAATCATATGTGTATATATATATATATATATATGTATGTATGTCAATACAAAATGGCAAAAATCAAATAAAACTTGGAGCTTAAGCTTGCAATTGATTTTGAAGTAAAACAGATAGAAAGAATTATGCATATATATAATAACCCAAAAGTAAATACATAGAATTACGAATTTGAGACACTAACTCTTTCAAAGAAAACCTTTGAACATTGAAATTTCACTCATACACACACACACATATGTATGTATGTATGTATGTATGTATGTATGAAATCATGGGGTTGGGGAAGGAATTGAAGAACTTACAGTGAATGAGAAAACATAAACCAAAGAGAGAGAAAGAGAAAGAGAGCAAAAGGAAAACATAAACCAGAAAGAGAAAGCAAAGAGAAAACATCAAAAAGCAAATGGAAAACATAAATTAGAGAGAGAGATAGCAAAAATATAAACCACAAAGAGAGAGCATAAAGAGAGCCACATACCAAATTGGGAAAAAGCAGCCACATACCAAATCGGGAAAAAGCAGCAACGATGAGAGGGGAAGAAGCGTTGGAAATGCCAACAACGACAACTAGCAAGAGCAGCAGTGGCGCCGATCAGCAAGGAAATGAGGAGGAGCAAGAGGGGAGATGGAGAGGCGCTTGAAACCCTAAAAAGAAATTGACCAACTCTTTCTTTCTCTACCAAAGCAATTTCATGAGTTATATGTACACAGGTGGTGTGGGCCAGTTTGACCAGCGAGTTGGAGTTTTGAAACCGCCACTTGCGTCGCCCGCCAAGCCTAGAGCTTGACCAGCGGGTTGGAGTTTTGAAACTACCACTTGTGTCGCCCGCCAAGCCTAGAGCCTCCACCCACTAGAATTGAAAAAATGTGCGATTCGGTACAGTTCAATGCGGTTTTGGCAATTTTGATGGTATTGTGCACAACCTTACCCACGGCCACGACTACGCCCATGCCCATGTAATACCTACAAAAAAAGAAGAAAATACTCTTATATCAAAGGAACCATAAAAAAAATGGAACTTAAAATGAATGACAAAATAAAAATATGAAAAATAAATTACTTGACTACATGCAGGACTATTCGGGGCTTGTGAGTCATAACCGCTTGCATTGTTAAGCAATGCTTGATAGCTTACATGCATGGAACACAAATGGCATTAAAAACGGCATATTATCTGGCTGCAACAATAACAAAGACATATTCAATTTAAAATGGTAACAATGACCTACATCTAGACATAATAAAACTTCTTATTAAACTAACTTCCATCATATGTGGGATACATAAATTGAGACGAAAAAGCATTAACTTGAGGAACACTCGTCGAGAATGAAGCAGGAAGTTGATGAGCACTTATTGAAAATAAAGGAGCTAGTTGAGGAATACTCGACGAAAACAAGGGAGGTGGTAGGGGACCACTCCCTGAAAATAAGGAAAGAGGTTGAAGAGCAACAGACAAGGGAGGTTGAGAAGCATTATGTGAACTTGTTTTATTTTTCTTTGCCAACGCAAGCTCCAAACCACCTATTGTCCGCCTTCTTCCCTTGCTAGTGCACTATCTTTTCTTGAGTCGTTTTGGTTAAACTACATTTGTATCCACTACACCATCCAGTTCAAAGCATTTGGGGCATGTGTTGGAAGGGCTTTCTTGTTCAATAGTATTTGAAAAAGGCATATTGCATTTTGAACTTAACATGCTTTCAATTATTGCAATTAATTCATCCACTTTCTCTACTGTCGAGTTATATGTTTCCTTACTTTCAGAAGCTCTATACGCCATTGCTCTGAATATTGCCATCAATGATCTATAGCGTGAAGTTTGATGCAATCTTACATCAACCTTAATATCATGCCCACACCTATCTTTCACATTTTCAGCTCTTGCTTTTTTAGTCCATCTCTTGAGAATATATTGTGAAGGAATCTTTTTGAACTTGAGGGTGTCTCTAAAGATCTTCAAACAATGACTACATAAAATGCCTTTCATTTCAAACTTCCTACAATTGCAAGTCAATGAACCATCACACTCCACTCTCACCTTTCTCACCTTTACACCAGCACTATCAAGAACCGTATACACGGTACTCTCACCGGCATGTTCAGTTTCTTCAATGTTTACTTCAAGGGACTTGAGATACTCATCCTGAAATTCTGCATATATTTTATTGGTGTAAACATCTGTAGCTTGCTCCATCATCTTCACTTTTATATTCACCCTTGGCAATTTTTGGCATAGAGCATAATCGGCTTGTAACTCTTTGTACCTCTTCTCACAAAGAACTCGATCAAAAAGCATGAAAAATTGCATTAAGTTACGATCAGATTGAATGAAATCCTTTAAGAAAGCATTAAAGGATTCATTAAGTTGGATGCTACTCATGCCTGCACCCCATGCATTTCTGACATATGGCCAACCCCATTTTTCCTCAACCCCATTTTTCCTTGACCCCAGATGTTAACTTCAACCAATGATTATCTAGCACTTCATATTTGTCAAGCATTTCCTCCCATTTTAACGTAAACTCTTCTTCATTCTCAATGCCGTACATAAAATTTGGATAAAACACTCTTCATCCTCTTATCCTTGACCTTCTTATCCTTGAAGATAGAATTTGCATGCCTTAATGAATTTTGCATCAAATGCCAAGTGCAAAGGCGGTGGTTTGTGTTAGGCAGTACAACAGGTATGGCCTTAGCCATTACAACATCCTGATCCGTAAAAATTATTTTTGGAGCCTTACTTGACATCGCCTTTAAGAATCTTCTAAAAATCCATATAAAAGAATTGACGGTCTCATCATACATTAAAGCTACGCCAAATATAACAGTTTCCCGATGATGGTTAAATCCAACAAAAGATGCAAATGACCTATGTGCACTATTTAACTTATAAGTAGTGTCGAAAGTCACAACATCACCAAATTGCCCATAATCCATGATCATCTGAGCATCGGCCCAAAATATGTTTGTAATCTGCTCCTTGTTATCTAATTGGACTGAGTAAAAAAAAGATGGATTCTCCAATGTTTTCTCACAAAAATATTGCAAAATGCTACCTGCCTCCCCATATTGTAAACTCTTTTGCCTCTTCGTTCTCAAATAATTTTTTTGGTCCAGTTTTGTGAATCCAAGCTACTCCCTTCCACCAGCTTCATTACCCATGAGCTCAAATGCTGCTAAGATGGATTCTAGATTTTTTGGCGAAATCTATTTTGGTTGCCTGTGAAGCATATATCTTTCTTTCGGATGGTAACATATGAGTACATTCTGCTGGTACAAAGATATGATTATGTTGTTCAACAAAATCACCAATAATTTTTTTTTTGAATATTCCTATCCCACTTAATGATAAGTCAGGCTTGACAATCAGTCCTCACTTCCTGCCTAGGATTTTTTTGTTAACGAATCTCGCTTGTCGACAACCCGAAACCCCTCCTTATTACAAACAAATTGCCTTAAAGTGATTTGTCCCTCCTTGTTGTTGTTTACATAACCCCTTCTAATACTAAAGCCCAGCCTTCTTCCATAAGCATTGTAGAAATCATATGCTTCTTGTTATGTATCAAATGTCATGCAAACTCTAGGTTCCCAATCACAATCACCCCCCATCATTCTCAACATTGTTGGGTTCCATTTCAATGTGCTAAGTCACTTAAAAAATAAATCGGTGGTCAATATTAGCATAAAACACTAAACTATGTTTGCAAAATAATACAAACTGAATAAAAACATTACAAAAGTTGACTCATATCAGATTATATAAACAGTTATATTGCCAAAACAGTACATTTCAAAACACAGTTATATTGCAAAAGTTATATAAACAATTATTGACTCATATTAGATTATATAAATAGTTATATTGCAAAAGTTGACTCAGTTCATACACAGTTATATTGCAACAATAGTACATTTCAAAAAAAATCAAAAATAAAAAACAATCAAAACCCTAGAAATAGATTTCAAAAAAATCATGTAAGAATCTCTCAATCAACACATTCAACAACCAACAAACTTGTATTACCATTAATTTTCAAAAAAATTCGAAAATTTTCAAATCAAAACCCAAATATTGGATAAATTTTGAAGGAGTACAAACCTGTATTTTTCTTCAATCAGCTGCGGTAGAGCGTTGGCGACGACGGAACGGTGGTGGCAGCAGGGTGCCGGGAGCGTCGTCTCTTTCTTCTTCTCCCTCTTTCACTCTTCCTCTCACTTTGTTTTGTTTTGTATATCTGGGCAGCGAGGGAATTTTGAAAGCTTTTTTTTTTTTTTTTTTGCAATTATGCACCAAAACGACGTCGTTTTGGTGAGATTTAATCTCAACCCTTGGATGGATCACTCTAAAAGATCACTCTAGGAATTAACTCTAGAGGATCTTAACGCCCTCCACTCACCTAAACAAAAAAGAAACGAATAATTACCAATAAATAAATAAACAATTAAATTTCACGATTTAATTTTTATAACAAAATAAATTTTGAATTTTATCAATTTAATCCTTATGTTTTTGATTTATTTTCAAAACTTTTTTTCTATTTTCGTTAACTAAAACTAATTAAAAAATAATATCATATATATATATATATATTATTATTATTATTAAAAGTAGTGTTTTTTCAATACTTACGTGGAATATTATAAGGATTTACTTTTTTCTAAGAGAATCATATCAGTATGTATTTTCTTAATTACATATAGAGTTCTACATAAACTCAAACTTAATTTAAATTATATTAACTTTACGTAGTTTGTAAGGACTCTATTTGACAAATATTTCTTTTTCATATTTTTTCATAGTAAATTGAGATAATCCACAAACCCAATATTATTTTGTGTTTCATGTTTTTCTTCTTAATTCTTAGGATTTTTTTAAATGCTAAATTGCCTTTTTTTCTTCTTCTTCTTCTTCTTCTTATTTTTTCGTGCATTATTCTATATCTAATACTAATTTTATATTATTTTATATTATGGGTTTGTCGTCTTGACATCGCCTTTAAGAATCTTCTAAAAAGCCATATAAAAGAATTGACGATCTCATCATACGTCAAAGATGTGCTAAATATAATAGTTTCCCTATCAAAATACCCCAATCATTAAAGAGCACAACAATATTTTCTACATCCACATGAAAGGTTTTCAATATTACATAGACGAATACCGTATCCAAGAAAAAAAAAATCAACTCTAAGATATTGACGTGTGATCCACATGATCGTGCCCACGACCATGACCACGCCCATGCCTATGTAGTCCCTAAAAAAAAAAGGAAATATTCTTATATCAAAGGAACCATAAAATAAATTGGAGCTTTAAATGAATGAATGACAAAATAAAAGAGGAAAGGTGAAAAATAAATTACTTGACTACATGCAGGACTATTCGAGGCTTGCTAGTCATAACCGCTTGCATTGTTAAGCAATGCTTGATAGCTTCTATGCACGGAATACATTGATGGCATTGAAAAAGGCATATTACTTGGCTGCAACAAT